ACTGATACTGATACACAATGCAAGCTGGTTGGATCCGCCAAGGCGAAACCAGGAGCAGGAGGGCGACCATAAATCATCACTCCCTTACAACCACAGAGGGTGGTTGCCCAATCCCCTGACTCAAGGGTCGCCTGTGGTCCTTCTGAAATTCCAGTGAGAAGGTAAAGAGAAGCCTGGGGCAAAACCCAAGGATGAAGGTCCCATGCCTGCATCCGATACCACGTGTCTCACAGGAGCCGCACCTGCAATCTGCCCTCCCGCCTGTGTCCCTGAGCTTGGGTTGGGACAGCACAGCTGTCAGAGGGTAGCATCCTGCTCAGCTGATGACACGGAGGTGCCTTAGGGCCCACGTGTGGGGGGCATGGCTCACCACAACCACAGCCACAAAGCTTTGGGTGGCTTCTCACTTGGGCACCACCAAGGTCCAAGCACGCTTCCCTCGTAGCTCAGATGGTAAAAGCATCTGCTTGCAATGCAGGAGACCCGGGTTCGATCCCTGGGTGGGGAAGATCCTCTGGGGAAGGAAATGGCAACCCACTCCAGTACGCGTGCCTGGAAAATCTCATGGATGGAGGAGACTCCTAGGCTACAGTCCGTGAAGTCGCAGAGTTGGACGTGACTGAGAGACTTCACTTTCACCTTTCAAGGGCCAAGCATGTGAGTCCAGTGAACACCGTCCCGGCCACGCAGATGAGGCTTCCCAGTGGTTTAACCCTGCAGGGGTCCAGATCCACTTGAAGCCCCGCATATAGACGCGCTGACCTGGGACTCCCCAGGGGTGGCTCTAATAGGTGGCTCCATGCTAGTGTTTCTATACTGTGTTAGAGCTGAGGGTGTCTGCACCTCACTTCCGGCCACACCCTCCACTCTCAATAGGTACAAAGGACGTGGTCTGGGCCTTCTGGCCGCACCAACATGGATGCAGCTCTGCTGATGCTCCCACCACAGCCCAGGGTCTGTACATGGGAGGGGCCGCCTGTCTGAGACAGAAGGAGGAGCTTTCCCCTCCTTTCCCCTTGGGTGCTAGAGCTGCAAGTGCTTTCTGTCCAGGTCACAGGGGACCCTGAAGCCCCCGGGGAGGTGCCCTCTGGCTCAGCACCTTCAATACTTCAGCACCTCCAACTCCAGAACAGTCTCCTTCCAGCCCTCACTGGGCAGAGGATCCCAGCCTCAGACCCAAGTCCTGCAGCCAGGAGGGGTGGGGTCTTCTGCTTGGGACCCCCAGTAAGCCTGATGGGGTTGCTCCAGGAAAGGTCATGGCATCTCAGGCCACCAGGGAGAGAGAGGTCGCTGGCAGAGACAGAAACACTGTTATAGGTTGAATGATGACCCCCAGAAATGCATGTGTTGAGTCCTAACCCCATCACCTATGACTATGACATTATATGGAAATGAGTCAAGATGAAATCATTCAAGTTGGCCCTAACCCTAGGGGTACTGGTATAAAAAGGGGGAATTTGGACACACATACACACAGGGAAAATGTCTTGTGAGGACTGGAGTTATGCTGTCCTATGACAAGAACTCTAAGAAGCTGAGAGCCCTGAATCAGATCCTCCCCTGGTGCCCTCAGGCCTTGCCAACACCTAGATTGACACCCAGCCTCCAGGACCGTGAGACCAAAAATTCCTGTGGTTCTAAGTCACCAAAATTGTGGAACCTGGGGAGTTTTTTGTTTGTTTTGGCTGCATCACATGGCTTGTGGGATCTTAGTTCCCCACCCAGGGACTGAACTTGCATCCTAGGCAGTGAGAGCTCGGAGTCCTACCCGCTGCACCACCAGGGAATGAATTCCTTGCAGTACTTTGCTTCAGCAGCCCTAAGGGATGGACATCAGCACCCTCTGCTCTGTTCCTTTCTCTCCAGACCAGGGTGGTGGTGGAGAGGCAGGCCACTGCTGAGTGGGCCCTCTGGCCCTGACTCACTGGGAGCTCTGGACACAGCTCTTTGCTCTGGCAAAGATGAGGACAAGGAGGAACAGGGGTGGCACCCTGGAGCTTGGCACTGCACCCTGCACCCCATCCCCACACTTCTGGAGCTCTGAATGTCCAGGAGTAGCCAACTCCACTCTTCACCTCCCTCCAATCCTCTCCCGCTGCCATCAGCAGTTTGGAACGGCCGCTGTGTCTTGACCTCAGTAGAGGAGATGCAGACAGAGGACACTCCGCCTGGTCATAGCGTCTCTCTGGTGTCCATGGCCTTTTATAGACAGGCTGGCAGGACAGACTGTGGGGCCAACACTGCTCTTCTCAGAGGGGCCTGTGGTCAAGCCAGAAAGCAGGGAGGGAAGTGGTGGGCAGGCAGCCTGATTGGCAGGACCCTGAGGGCAGAGCCCCGTCCCCCCAGGTGCTGAGTGGAGGAGGGTAGAGGGAGACGCCTCCTGCCTCCACCCACAGATTTGACCCCACATAGGCGGCCCTCGTCAGGACGTCCAGTCTGTCAAGAGTCAGCTCTAGACACTTTGGTCCATTTTCTCCACAACAGACGTGATGCAGCTCCTGAGTCAGGGCTCTAGGACTTTCAGGATAGAGCCCACTGTCTGCAAAGGTGGGAAGGAGGAAAATGCCGTGGAGATCCTTGTGCAACCTGTTCACCACGGTCCTGCCTCTAATCTGACCAGCTGCCACACAGGTACCTCCTCCCCGGGCATCCAGGCTCTGATAGTGACAGGAGAGACCCAGACAGGCCCAGAGCTCTGCGTGTTTCCTGGGAAGGTTGAGCGGTGGCACATCCCTTAGCAACTCAGAGTACCTGAACCCTAACCCTTAATGTGCTGCCCTTTGGTGCAGAATTTGGATGAATGAGGGTGAGTGAGTCTAAACAGTGTGCTTCATGTGGGAACAGTCTGTGTGGATAAGAGCAGGTTAATGATGCGCATGGAACTCAGTTATTTATACCAACCAACATGGGGTGAAGGGTAAACCATAAAGTTGAAGAGTGACTCTTGGTGATGGGGTGAACACTGTATGGGCATGTGGGGACAAGTTGGTGATGTTTGAGATCCTAGAACTAGGAAATGAGAGGAAAGTGCTCATGAATTCTGAGAGTTAGGTAAGCAGATTAGGGAGACTAGTGAATTAGTTAATACAAACTTTGATGAGAAACAGGATATTTGCATAGCTTCAAAGCACCACCCCCTAAAATACTTACCCAAAGAGAAAAGGAGTGACTTTATAGTGGAGAAGCTTGGCTGGGAACACCCTAACCAAGTGACAGAGATGAACACCAGCAGAGACAGGGCGAGAGAGATTCACATGAGGCCCAGAGGATGCAGTAAGGACCAAGCATCACTTCTAGGACATCCCTTCCAAATGCATACCCCAAATTCCATGGCCCCTTTGGGGGACATTCTGCACAGAAACTGGTCTGTAATCCCCAAGTCAAGGTCCCAGAAGTCCAGGAGAAACCAGGGACTGTTCCAGGAGGGAGGGCGTTGAAAAACTAGCTGAGTAAATGCAGCACATGTGGAGTGGATGTGGATTCTTTCATTCAGGGCAATATTGGAACAACTAACTGGACTTACTCCGGATCTAGCAATTAGGACTGACTTCCAGATTTCGATGGAGGAGCTGTGGACATGCAGAATGCCTTATCTGAAGGGAACACACAGAAGCATTAGGGGGATGACGGGCATCTGACCATCATCTGGCCACTTATTCTCAAATGGTTCAAAGAAAACAAGCTACCTGTTTTCCATTTTCAAGTTTTTGACTGTTTCCAAATAAATGTTTTAAAACTGAAAGGCCCTAGTTTTAGGGACCGAGAAGGTGAGTGGCTGTCTGAGCTGCACATCTGTCACTCCTGACTCTCGGCCCTGCGGTTCTGGGGATAAAGATGGGATGGGATGGGGCTACGTGAGGAGCAGTGAGTGCGGGGGCCCTTGGGTTGTGGGGGCTGAGCACAGGCAGTCTCAGCTGAGACGTCCCCTCCAGGGAAGCTCACAGGGTCTCTTCAAGTGTCCTGGGTTCTCAGCTGTTCCCCACTTCACCCCACCTTCCAGCAACTACCTAGAAGTGCCCCTTTATTCCTCTGCCTCCCCCACTATCCTGTGAGCCCCAAGGGCACAAACCTGACTCTATTACCCACTATATCACCTCTGTCAACCAACACGATGTGAAGGCAAGGGTGGGTCAAGGGCCCATTCCTGGAGGTGACAGTCCTGGGTGTCAAAGTTCCCAAACGTGTCACAGGAGGACAGGAGCTACAGCCAGCTCAGCCCTGGGGCCTGGGCTTCTCTGACCACTGCTTCCATCTCGGGCAATTTCTCATTCCCGGGGCACACCACCAGGTGAGGGGCAGATGGCAGAGATGCCCACCTGACACTGCTGATAAAACAGAGCCATTGGAAAGGATCTGAATGTCCTGATCACCAGGGTGATGTCCTCATCACCCTCACACTGTGAAATGTGGGCCCGGCCTGAGAGGGGCAGGTGTCCAGGACAGTTAAGTGAATGAAGGGCAGAGAGTCAGAACAGTAAACTTTAATTGAACAGAACATTTGCTGGGCAAACACATTGAATCACAACCCTGGGCAAGGCACCCCCCACCCCAGCCTGGCAGGCTCTCCCCCAGGGCATGTGCTTCTGTGCAAACCCCAGACTCAGAGATGCCAGAGGTTGCCCACACCTCTCTCACCACATCTCCTGGGAGGAGAAGTCTGGCCTTGTCACAGGACAGGTGGGAGGCCCGAAGGGCAACATCCCCGCTCTGAGAAAGGCCTTCACTGCCCAGAACCCACCCTGGAACCTGACTGCAATCTGCTGCTGCCTGCATAGAACAGACCCATCTTTGACTTCTGACTTCAGGAATGTTTCTCAGACGCTTCTTCCAATACAGGAAATTGACAACCAAACTATTCAAACAGGGCCTGGGGGGCTCAGCAGAACCCCCAGGGAACTCTGGGGACCTCCTTCTTCAGTAGGGATAACGCTCTGTTACTCGAGTTGCTGGATGTCCACAGCTGCTCCCCTGGAGCACTGGCCAGGCTCCCAAGGGGCAGCTCAGTCCAGGCTACCCCCTGAAAGCTCCAGGAGCATCCTGGCTCCCCAGAAGGTGTCGCTGGAGGTCTGCCCGCCAGACCACTGCACCTGGGAAGCCAACACAGTGTCACACACGGAGACGCCCTCTGCCGGCTCTGCCCTCCCAGTCCCTCTGGCACTCCCAACCTGGGACTCAGCCCTCTGGACTCAGTAGGAAACCCTGCCCCAGGACACTTGCCTCCCAGCTCCCCTTCCATTGAAGTCCGGCCTCCAGACGTGCCTGGCTCATGTTCAGCTCTGCCCATTTTAGTCACTCTGAAGTCCCAAGCTGGGGACCCAGGAGTCAGGAAGGAAGCCCACAGTGCTTGTAGGAGGGTCTCACCTGGCTGGCGGGAGGGGGCTGGCTCAGCTCCACGGCAGACATGGGGCCAGGGAAGCCTGATGGGGCCGGAGTCAGGTCTGAGGGGCTGGAAAAGGGACGGTGTCAGGACAGGCCCTCTGCCAGGCCCTATTTGAGGGTCATGCTGTCCCCCATGAGCCCCATACTCGGAGAGCTTTCTACCTGTCTGAAGCCCTTCCAGGTGACAGGCTCTCTGGGAACAGCCTCCTCCTGCAAGGCACTCAGGTGTTCAGGATGCTGGAGGGGCCTCAGGACACCTCAAGTAGGGGGCTCAGGTAGTCAGGGAGCAAGCACACCAGGGCAAGCTCACAGAAGATGGGGTGGTGAGCGGAGATGGAAAGGAAGAGAAGGTCACAAAGGGACAGACCCGAGGCACGCAGAGGTCAAAAGGTCCTTAGAACCAAATCAAGGAGAGCAGCAGGGGGAGCAGGGCAGGGGACAGGTGCAGCCACTCAGGACAACAGTCAAACCACATCCACCCTGTGACCTAGTCACCCCACTGCTAGGTGTATACACCCCAGGGACACGAAGGCAAATGTGCAGGCCACTGTGTGTGCAGCAGGGCTGACAGCAGCCCCAAACCAGGAGCTCCCAAATGCCTCTAGCAGGTGATGTCAATCCAAGACTAGGACTCAGCAAGAAAGAGGAAGCGGTACTGATACACACAGGAAAAGGGATGCGGATACACACAGGAGGAGGGATGTTGATACATACAGGAGGGATGCTGATACACACAGGAAGAGGGGTGTTGATATACACAGGAGGAGGGATGCTGATACACACAGGAGGAGGAGTGTTGATATACACAGGAGAAGGGGTGTTGATATACACAGGAGGAGGGATGCTGATACACACAGGAAGAGGGGTGTTGATACACACAGTAAGAGGGGTGTTGATATACACAGGAGGAGGAGTGCTGATACACACAGGAAGAGGAGTGCTGATACACACAGGAGAAGGGGTGTTGATATACACAGGAGGAGGGATGCTGATACACACAGGAAGAGGGGTGTTGATATACACAGGAGGAGGGGTGTTGATACACACAGGAGGAGGAGTGTTGATATACACAGGAGGATGGGTGTTGATATACACAGGAGGAGGGGTGCTGATACACACAGGAGGAGGAGTGTTGATATACACAGGAGGAGGGATGCTGATACACACAGGAAGAGGGGTGTTGATATACACAGGAGGAGGGGTGTTGATATACACAGGAGGAGGGGTGTTGATATACACAGGAGGAGGGGTGCTGATACACACAGGAAGAGGGGTGTTGATATACACAGGAGGAGGGATGCTGATACACACAGGAGGAGGGGTGCTGATACACACAGGAGGAGGGGTGTTGATACACACAGGAGGAGGGATGCTGATACACACAGGAAGAGGGGTGTTGATACACACAGGAAGAGGGGTGTTGATATACACAGGAGGAGGGATGCTGATACACACAGGAGAAGGGGTGTTGATACACACAGGAGAAGGGGTGTTGATACACACAGGAGAAGGGGTGTTGATACACACAGGAGGAGGAGTGTTGATATACACAGGAGGAGGGATGCTGATACACACAGGAGGAGGGATGCTGATACACACAGGAAGAGGGGTGTTGATATACACAGGAGGAGGGGTGTTGATACACACAGGAGGAGGAGTGTTGATATACACAGGAGGATGGGTGTTGATATACACAGGAGGAGGGGTGCTGATACACACAGGAGAAGGGGTGTTGATATACACAGGAGGAGGGGTGCTGATACACACAGGAGGAGGAGTGTTGATATACACAGGAGGAGGGATGCTGATACACACAGGAGGAGGGGTGTTGATATACACAGGAGGAGGAGTGTTGATATACACAGGAGGATGGGTGTTGATACACACAGGAGGAGGGGTGTTGATACACACAGGAGGAGGGGTGCTGATACACACAGGAAGAGGGGTGTTGATATACACAGGAGGAGGAGTGCTGATACACACAGGAAGAGGGGTGTTGATACACACAGGAAGAGGGGTGTTGATATACACAGGAGAAGGGGTGTTGATATACACAGGAGGAGGGGTGTTGATACACACAGGAAGAGGGGTGTTGATATACACAGGAGAAGGGGTGTTGATATACACAGGAGGAGGGATGCTGATACACACAGGAAGAGGGGTGTTGATACACACAGGAAGAGGGGTGTTGATATACACAGGAGGAGGGGTGTTGATATACACAGGAGGAGGAGTGTTGATATACACAGGAGGATGGGTGTTGATACACACAGGAGGAGGGGTGTTGATACACACAGGAGGAGGGGTGCTGATACACACAGGAGGAGGAGTGTTGATATACACAGGAGGAGGGGTGCTGATACACACAGGAGGAGGAGTGTTGATATACACAGGAGGAGGGGTGCTGATACACACAGGAGGAGGGATGCTGATACACACAGGAGGAGGAGTGTTGATACACACAGGAGGAGGAGTGTTGATACACACAGGAGAAGGGGTGTTGATACACACAGGAGAAGGGGTGTTGATACACACAGGAGGAGGGGTGTTGATACACACAGGAGGAGGGATGCTGATACACACAGGAAGAGGGGTGTTGATACACACAGGAAGAGGGGTGTTGATATACACAGGAGGAGGGATGCTGATACACACAGGAGGAGGGGTCCTGATACACACAGGAGGAGGGGTGTTGATACACACAGGAGGAGGGGTGCTGATACACACAGGAAGAGGGGTGCTGATACACACAGGAAGAGGGGTGTTGATACACACAGGAAGAGGGGTGTTGATATACACAGGAGGAGGGATGCTGATACACACAGGAGAAGGGGTGTTGATACACACAGGAGAAGGGGTGTTGATACACACAGGAGGAGGAGTGTTGATATACACAGGAGGAGGGATGCTGATACACACAGGAGGAGGGATGCTGATACACACAGGAAGAGGGGTGTTGATATACACAGGAGGAGGGGTGTTGATACACACAGGAGGAGGAGTGTTGATATACACAGGAGGATGGGTGTTGATATACACAGGAGGAGGGGTGCTGATACACACAGGAGAAGGGGTGTTGATATACACAGGAGGAGGGGTGCTGATACACACAGGAGGAGGAGTGTTGATATACACAGGAGGAGGGATGCTGATACACACAGGAGGAGGGGTGTTGATATACACAGGAGGAGGAGTGTTGATATACACAGGAGGATGGGTGTTGATACACACAGGAGGAGGGGTGTTGATACACACAGGAGGAGGGGTGCTGATACACACAGGAGGAGGGGTGCTGATACACACAGGAAGAGGGGTGTTGATATACACAGGAGGAGGAGTGCTGATACACACAGGAAGAGGGGTGTTGATACACACAGGAAGAGGGGTGTTGATATACACAGGAGAAGGGGTGTTGATACACACAGGAGGAGGGGTGTTGATACACACAGGAAGAGGGGTGTTGATATACACAGGAGAAGGGGTGTTGATACACACAGGAGGAGGGATGCTGATACACACAGGAAGAGGGGTGTTGATACACACAGGAAGAGGGGTGTTGATATACACAGGAGGAGGGGTGTTGATATACACAGGAGGAGGAGTGTTGATATACACAGGAGGATGGGTGTTGATACACACAGGAGGAGGGGTGTTGATACACACAGGAGGAGGGGTGCTGATACACACAGGAGGAGGAGTGTTGATATACACAGGAGGAGGGGTGCTGATACACACAGGAGGAGGAGTGTTGATATACACAGGAGGAGGGGTGCTGATACACACAGGAGGAGGGATGCTGATACACACAGGAGGAGGAGTGTTGATACACACAGGAGGAGGAGTGTTGATATACACAGGAGGATGGGTGTTGATATACACAGGAGGAGGGGTGCTGATACACACAGGAGAAGGGGTGTTGATACACACAGGAGAAGGGGTGTTGATACACACAGGAGGATGGGTGTTGATACACACAGGAGGAGGGGTGTTGATACACACAGGAGGAGGGGTGTTGATATACACAGGAGGAGGGATGCTGATACACACAGGAGGAGGGATGCTGATACACACAGGAAGAGGGGTGTTGATATACACAGGAGGAGGGGTGTTGATACACACAGGAGGAGGAGTGTTGATATACACAGGAGGATGGGTGTTGATATACACAGGAGGAGAGGTGCTGATACACACAGGAGAAGGGGTGTTGATACACACAGGAGAAGGGGTGTTGATACACACAGGAGGAGGGGTGTTGATACACACAGGAGGAGGGGTGTTGATACACACAGGAGGAGGGGTGTTGATATACACAGGAGGAGGGATGCTGATACACACAGGAGGAGGGATGCTGATACACACAGGAAGAGGGGTGTTGATATACACAGGAGGAGGGGTGTTGATACACACAGGAGGAGGAGTGTTGATATACACAGGAGGAGGGGTGTTGATACACACAGGAAGAGGGGTGTTGATACACACAGGAGGATGGGTGTTGATATACACAGGAGGAGGGGTGCTGATACACACAGGAGGAGGGATGCTGATACACACAGGAAGAGGGGTGTTGATATACACAGGAGGAGGGGTGTTGATACACACAGGAGGAGGAGTGTTGATATACACAGGAGGATGGGTGTTGATATACACAGGAGGAGGGGTGCTGATACACACAGGAGGAGGGGTGCTGATACACACAGGAGGAGGGGTGCTGATACACACAGGAGGAGGAGTGTTGATATACACAGGAGGAGGGGTGCTGATACACACAGGAAGAGGGGTGTTGATACACACAGGAAGAGGGGTGTTGATATACACAGGAGGAGGAGTGCTGATACACACAGGAAGAGGGGTGTTGATACACACAGGAAGAGGGGTGTTGATATACACAGGAGGAGGGGTGCTGATACACACAGGAAGAGGGGTGTTGATACACACAGGAAGAGGGGTGTTGATATACACAGGAGGAGGGGTGTTGATATACACAGGAGGAGGGATGCTGATACACACAGGAATAGGGGTGTTGATACACACAGGAAGAGGGGTGTTGATATACACAGGAGGAGGGGTGCTGATACACACAGGAGGAGGGGTGCTGATACACACAGGAGGAGGGGTGCTGATACACACAGGAGGAGGAGTGTTGATATACACAGGAGGAGGGGTGTTGATACACACAGGAGGAGGGGTGCTGATACACACAGGAGAAGGGGTGTTGATACACACAGGAGGAGGGGTGCTGATACACACAGGAGGAGGGGTGCTGATACACACAGGAGGATGGGTGTTGATACACACAGGAAGAGGGGTGTTGATATACACAGGAGGAGGAGTGCTGATACACACAGGAAGAGGGGTGTTGATACACACAGGAAGAGGGGTGTTGATATACACAGGAGGAGGGATGCTGATACACACAGTAGGAGGGGTGTTGATATACACAGGAGGAGGGATGCTGATACACACAGGAAGAGGGGTGTTGATATACACAGGAGGAGGGGTGTTGATACACACAGGAAGAGGAGTGTTGATATACACAGGAGGATGGGTGTTGATATACACAGGAGGAGGGGTGCTGATACACACAGGAGAAGGGGTGTTGATATACACAGGAGGATGGGTGTTGATATACACAGGAGGAGGGGTGTTGATATACACAGGAGGAGGGGTGCTGATACACACAGGAAGAGGGGTGTTGATATACACAGGAAGAGGGGTGTTGATACACACAGGAAGAGGAGTGTTGATATACACAGGAGGATGGGTGTTGATATACACAGGAGGAGGGGTGCTGATACACACAGGAGAAGGGGTGTTGATATACACAGGAGGAGGGGTGCTGATACACACAGGAGGAGGAGTGTTGATATACACAGGAGGAGGGGTGCTGATACACACAGGAAGAGGGGTGTTGATACACACAGGAAGAGGGGTGTTGATACACACAGGAGGAGGAGTGTTGATATACACAGGAGGAGGGGTGTTGATACACACAGGAAGAGGGGTGTTGATACACACAGGAGGAGGGGTGCTGATACACACAGGAGGAGGGGTGCTGATACACACAGGAGGATGGGTGTTGATACACACAGGAAGAGGGGTGTTGATATACACAGGAGGAGGAGTGCTGATACACACAGGAAGAGGGGTGTTGATACACACAGGAAGAGGGGTGTTGATATACACAGGAGGAGGGGTGTTGATATACACAGGAAGAGGGGTGTTGATATACACAGGAGGAGGGGTGTTGATACACACAGGAGGAGGAGTGTTGATATACACAGGAGGAGGGATGCTGATACACACAGGAGGAGGGGTGCTGATACACACAGGAGGAGGGGTGTTGATACACACAGGAGTAGGGATGCTGATACACACAGGAAGAGGGGTGCTGATACACACAGGAAGAGGGGTGCTGATACACACAGGAAGAGGGGTGTTGATATACACAGGAGTAGGGATGCTGATACACACAGGAAGAGGGGTGCTGATACACACAGGAAGAGGGGTGTTGATACACACAGGAAGAGGGGTGTTGATACACACAGGAGGAGGAGTGTTGATATACACAGGAGGAGGGGTGTTGATACACACAGGAAGAGGGGTGTTGATACACACAGGAGGAGGGGTGCTGATACACACAGGAGGAGGGGTGCTGATACACACAGGAGGATGGGTGTTGATACACACAGGAAGAGGGGTGTTGATATACACAGGAGGAGGAGTGCTGATACACACAGGAAGAGGGGTGTTGATACACACAGGAAGAGGGGTGTTGATATACACAGGAGGAGGGGTGTTGATATACACAGGAAGAGGGGTGTTGATATACACAGGAGGAGGGGTGTTGATACACACAGGAGGAGGAGTGTTGATATACACAGGAGGAGGGATGCTGATACACACAGGAGGAGGGGTGCTGATACACACAGGAGGAGGGGTGTTGATACACACAGGAGTAGGGATGCTGATACACACAGGAAGAGGGGTGCTGATACACACAGGAAGAGGGGTGCTGATACACACAGGAAGAGGGGTGTTGATATACACAGGAGGAGGGGTGCTGATACACACAGGAAGAGGGGTGTTGATATACACAGGAGGAGGGATGCTGATACACACAGGAAGAGGGGTGTTGATACACACAGGAAGAGGGGTGTTGATATACACAGGAGGAGGGATGCTGATACACACAGGAAGAGGGGTGTTGATACACACAGGAAGAGGGGTGTTGATATACACAGGAGGAGGGATGCTGATACACACAGGAAGAGGGGTGTTGATACACACAGGAAGAGGGGTGTTGATATACACAGGAAGAGGGGTGTTGATATACACAGGAGGAGGGATGCTGATACACACAGGAAGAGGGGTGTTGATACACAGAGGAAGAGGGGTGTTGATATACACAGGAGGAGGGATGCTGATACACACAGGAAGAGGGGTGTTGATATACACAGGAGGAGGGATGCTGATACACACAGGAGGAGGGGTGCTGATACACACAGGAGGAGGGGTGTTGATATACACAGGAGGATGGGTGTTGATACAGACAGGAGGAGGGATGCTGATACACACAGGAGGAGGAGTAGTGATATACACAGCAGTAGGGACAGGTCTCAAGCAGTCAGGCTGAGTGAAGGAAGCCATATAATAAAAAAAGGGCAGATGCTGTATGATTTCACTCATATGAAATTCTTAGAAAATGCAGCTAAAGAAAGCAGATCCTTGGTCCTGGGAAGGTGGGGGTGAGGGGTGGAGGCAGATGGAAACAGCTCTGTGGCCCATGACCTAAAGCATAGTTATGGTTTGTGATGAATACATGTCACACTCAGAAAACTGTCATTTGTACCATCTAAACATGTTCGTACTTTACGCCCCAGCGAAGCTGTTTTTAAACAAGGAATCAAGGTTATCAGATCAGAACAAGGATGAGCTGGAGCACAGGAGTCCAAAGGTGAGAAAACCAGTGGAGAGGCGGCTAAGCAGGCCCAAGGTGACCCTGTGGCTGCTCCACTCCATCCGTCTTCTGCTCATAAACCCACATGGTCTGGCTGTTTCCACAAGTAAAGCCTGTTTCCTCAGGAGGCTGCCCCCCTCCTCTTGCATGTCCCCCAGTAATTCTGCCCTCACTGGGCACCTGATCTTCAGCTCCTAGATTTGGGAGACCCCAAACCCTGGGGACCCTGTCCTGTGACCCTCCACCAGAGGCCCAACACTCTCCTGTGAAATCTGAACCACTGTCACGCCCCCATGCCACAGTCTGCAGCACATCCCCTACTCACAGCCCTCCCAAGCGCCTTTAAAATTATAATTTGGAGTATAAAAGCAGGCTCTTGATGCTGTCCAGAAACTGAAACTATCTTTGGGGAAAAGAGAATGCCTGAAAGAGGCTGCCGGAGCCCAGGGAGACCTCTGGGGAAGCACCATCCACATGCCTGTATCTGCTGCTGTGCTTCCAGGTGTTCTTTTGTCCGAGGGAAAAACTATGATCATGGAGGACGGGGTAACTGTTGAGGTTTCCAGAAATCCATAAGGAAAGGACCTCATCTGCCCCGTGGGAGATGGTGAGTCTCCCGACCAGGCACCACCCCATGCGTGGCCCGTAGGAAATGTCACCTGAGCCCCGTGGCTCTGCACTTACTTCTGGGTGAGGATGAAACTGGGAGCCTGTGGTGGAGGCTGGGTCACCAGGAGGTTGCCCGCCTGTTGTTCTGCTTGGCTACCGCGGGAACCCGGATCCTCCTCCAGGTATGTGCCCTGGGGGTTGATGCTGGGAGGGTCAGCGAATCCTGCAGGGGAGGAAACCCCATAACCCAGAGCTGGGAGACGGGAGCACAGTCCGTGTGCAGCCCCAACACAGACGTCCGCAGAGAGGCAGCGTCCAGTCTGCCAGCCCCTCACCTCAGCTCCGCGTTGAGGAAAGAGAAGCCTCTTCTGTCCATCTCAGTGGCTTTTTCAGGGTTCCAGAGACCAAAACAATGTCAAATTTCACTGGCTTCAAGTTTTTGTCATTCTAGACTTCACACCAGCCCAACAAAGACTCAGCATCCCAATCTGCCCACGTTCACTGCTGCCGTATGAGGACAGACTCCTTGGTGCCTCCCTGCTTCACCACAGGCTGAGCCCAGCCATCCGCCGCTTCCCTCCCCTTTTTCCTTGGGTTCCACCTTGACTTCATGGCAGTGCAAGGTGTTACTCCCTTGCCCCACCCTTTCTCTTTACTTAAAATGTTGTAGAAAATCTCTCAGGGTGCCTTTCACTCTAAAAAGGAAAGCCACATGGACTCAATCAGTTCCGGGCTGACATTTAGGAGCAAAGTTAAGCTAAGACGGGAGGTCCATTTGTACCCTAAGTCCATCTGAGCAATAAAACTAGCAAGCGTCCTGATCTCAGACCCCAAACAACAGTCCTTCCTCCTGTCTGCCAGAGCAACCATCTAAACTGTCAGCTGCTGAGACCTGCCGAACCGTTTGGTGTATGACTACCTCCACCTCTGTTGTGTCTTCTTCCCACAGAACTTCAAAGATACTCTGAGGGCCACGAAATATGGTTAAGTGCAAATTTGAACATTTCAATTCACACAGAATAGATCAATGGGTTATAGCTTCTTCCTCTAAGAGTAAGGGAAATAAAAAGCCCCAAGCCTAGGACAAAGGGAGTGTGATGAGAAGGGCAATTAGCAGGTGGGAGGTGTCCGTGTTCGGCAGATGCAGGGCACACGTCCAAAGCCATGGTGCTGGGTGGGGTGTCTGAAGGGAAGCCAGGGCGTAAGCAGCGGTCAAGGACCCTGGGGAGTTTGCAGAAAGGGAAGGCAGGTGAGGTGGTCAGGTGGTCAGCAGGGAGCTCACCCTCACATATGCTCGACATGGTGTGAAGACCAGCTCCCCTCTTCCCAGTATGAGGCTGGCCATTGCCTGTCCTGACTCCAGCCTTGTTAGTACACATGAACAGGAAAAGGTCTCTGAAATGAAAGACCAATCCATTCAGATGGAAAAACTGCCTTGGAGAAATAAGTCTCCAGGCTCTTCCAATTTTAGGCCCCACCTCTTCCTGTTTCCAAGGAAGGACCTGAATCCACCATCTTCACATTTCCTCCTTCAAGCAATAAAACATATTTACTGAAGCTTATAAGCAGGATACCCACAGAGGTTTAGATATTGCATCTATAAAAAGTAACACAATCTATGAAGAAAGGAAAACCAGAATTAAGAAAAGAGAGCTTAGAGTTCTCTTAAAATACATAACTGTCATAATATCAGAAGATAGGACTTCCCTGGTGGTCTGGTGGTTAAGAATCCACTTGCCAGTGCAGGAGACATGGGTTTGATTTCTGGTCTGGGCATTTTCCACATGCCAACTAAACCCATGTGTCACAACTACTGAACCCCACATGCGCCTATGGCCCGTGCTCTGCAACAAGAGAAGCCACCACAATGAGAAGCCTTTGCACTGCAACTAGAGTAGCCCCTGCTCACTGCAACAAGAGAAAGCCTGCACACAGCAACCAAGACCCAGTGCAGCAAAAATAAGTAAATAAATGTTTTTTTAAGAAAATCAGAAGATAGAGTTTAAGATAAAAGCACCTACAACAAAAAGCAACTTTTTTTAAAGGTAAGTGTTTTGGGAGATTGGCCCAGGATTTTCAACATTCAAATAACATTTGTGCTGTAAAGAGAGAACTGAAAGGAGGAAATCATCAGGAAACTATCAAAGAAAATTACAGAAAATGCCTGGAGTTTAAAGAAGACCTTGCTCTCTCTTTAAATTGAAAGGCTTAACAACAAAGTGATTTTAAAAGACTCACACCTAGGACCATCACTGTGAAATTTCAGAACACCAAGACTTAAAAAATAAAAAGCTTCAAGAAAGGAAAAATATGTAAAACATGTAAAAATCAGAATGACATTTGACTTAAAATGACAACATTGGATGCTGTAATATGTTGCTTTCTAATTTCTAAGGGAAAAAGTGTTTTGAGCTCAGAATTCTGTCCCTGACAAATCGTAAATCAAGCAAGAGGGAAGATTAAAGACAATTTCAGAAGATGCAAGGAATGAGAAAATTTACCTTGCAGTCATCCTTTCTTGTAAAGTTAAAGACATTCTCTAACAAAAAGAGTCAAGAAAGAAAGAAAGAACAAGACTTGCAATTAAGGAAACACTGAAGTGGAATTTCCTTGGTGGTCCAATGGTTAAGATTTCACCTTCCAACGCAGGGGACATGGGTTTGATCCCTGGTCGGAGAACTCAGATTCAACACTGAAGCAAACCCAGGTGTTCTCAGGATGATGGCTCCATCCCAGGCCTAGGGAGACTGTACTTGGATGGGGACAGGGAGAAGGAGGCTCCCAGCAACAAGTCTTCAGAGTTGATGCTTGAAACACTGGGAGAAGCTAAGGATGTGATAAAAGCAGACAATGTAAGAAAAAAGAAAGGCAATCAGAAACTATATTAAGACAGACAGACAGACACACACACACACACACAACATATATAACCACAGAAGAGGGCTTCCCGAGTGGTGCTAGTGGTAAAGACTGCCGATGCAGGTAGACATAAGAGATGTGGGTTTGATCCCTGGGTCAGGAAGATCCCCTGGAGGAGGGCTCGGCAACCCACTCCAGTATTGCCTGGGAAATTGCAAGGACGGGGGAGCCTGGCGGGCTATAGTCCATAGGGTCACAAAGAGTCAGACATGACTGAAGCGACTTAGCACGCATGCATAACCACAGAAGACTAAGAAATTTAGGTGACAGGCTGAATTCAGTGCCAATATCCTCCTTATATGCTTGGATGTCACAAGATGCTATCATGTTTGGTGCACAAAATATATACCTGAATACATTTTCGTTAAGGGTATGTATAGCAAATATAAGACTGCTATAGTCACATGACAATATTGAGAGGTGGAATCTTGTTTGTTACTGTCATTCCCATTCCTTTTCGTTTAGAATCAGAATAAAGTTGTATTTCAAATATCTAAAAAAAGGGGGGGGGGCGGTATGTATAGCTACAATTACAACTAAGAAAGAAACCCGGACAAGAGGGTAAGTCTGAGCAGCTCAGCCCTCCTCTGTGCTAGCAGACATGGACAAGCTAGTCACGGGGACTGGATGCAGGGTTGGCAGCCATTCCATTTCATTTCAACTCTTTCCTCACTATCCTATTTTTTTAGCCACGTGCACATTTTACTTTGAAAACAAAAATAAATGAAAAAAACATCCAGCTGTTCATGGGAAGAGCCTGTTCCAACTGCACTGATTTGTGGGTCTAATAAAATACATGGGATTCAAGCAGAAAGTCCTCGCCCCTCAAAATCCTGCCCCTTCAAATGAGACACAAGCTGTCAAAGCATCTGATGTAGAAACATGTGGTCTGTCTAGAGTGGACCCACCTGAGGGGCTGGGCTCCCTGAGGGTGGCGAGGGACACAGCCAGAGCAGCGTCTGTAGGGCGCATGGTGAGGTTCAGCCCATGACTGTGGATCAGCTGCCCAGCCTGGAAGGAAGCTTCCTTGGAGGATGCCAGTGCGAGAGACATCAGCCACGACTCAGGGGCAGCCAGAGAGGGGTCCAGCATATCGTCGGCAGCAGCCAGAGGACAGAGACCAGGGCCAGAGCAGACAGGGGGCAGAGTGGCTGGGTCACGGTTAGGCCCCTCCTGGTACATCTCACCACCCTGCAGAGACCTGGGGGGACACAGGGAACACCACCCCTTGGTGGGCAGAGGGTCCCCCAGGCCCGGGTAGGGGGGCCTGGGAGGACATTCCAGCTCAGTCTGGGAATCTGGGCTCGGGTGGCTGTGGGGCCCACCACATTCCCAGTCATATTGCCTTCACCATCCTCCCTGGGGCTGCAAGAGTAAAAAATATTACTGCTAGAAACCTAAGATACATTAGCAGTTTATTTACAAGTGCTTTCAATGAAGCATGGTTCTGCAATACTGAAAGCTGAAAATAATTAGGAACAACCTAACATTTGAGTGACTATATGAAGGTCAATCTTATAGGACTATTAGGCAGAAATTAATAATTCAAAGAATTAATGTTCCACCAATGCTCACTGTGTCTCAGATGGCGCTTCTAGGCTTTTGTTAACAACCCCCCACCTCTATCATCTGTGTGATGACCTGCATGGCAGGGCTTATCACTGTCCCCATTTCACAGATGAGAAGAGTGAGACACCAAGAGGTCATGGGAACTTACCTAAGGCCACATGGGTAGTGCTGGCCTGAATGTGAGGTGCCAGCTCAGGTAATGTCATGCGAGATGCTAATAACACAAGGGTAACAGGGAAAAGTGGGCACAGCTTGATGGTTTACACAGCATGGACATGACCCCTCACTTATACTCAGTCCACCTGCTGGCCAGCACTCCTGCTGGCTCACAGCAGTCTATGCAGGTCACAGGAGTGGCAAGGTAAAGTGAGACACTGCCTGGGCTGTGGAAGGAATTTACTAACTTAGGGGTTACTAACTTAGAGATATACCAACCACACCAAATGTTAGAGAGAAACAAACCAAGAGGACGGCCATTTGCCTTTAGGAAACAGGTCTACATGTTTTTCTAAGTCTGCTTCCCCATCCTCCAAAATTTACATGAAGTCAGGCTGTGAGTCAGGCTCCAGGAAGCAAGTGTGCTGCACATGACTTGGGTTCCTTGCCCGTGGCTCCCCCTCCTACCTGGGGTCACAGCTGTCTCTGCCCTCAGCCATCACAGACCTGGTCCCAGGGTCTGGCTGGCATTCCTACACCCACCCCAATCCTGGTCTCCCACTGAGGGTGGGGAACTGAACAGGGAGACAGTCCCCTGGCCTATGTGCGTGGCAGTACCTGGGAGCCAGTGACTTGGGCATAGTCTCGCCTCCAGAGAAGTCTGGGGTCAGAGCCAGCGGCTCCCACGGCCCTTGGGTGGTCTCCAGGGTCTGTAGAGGCACACTTTCCTCAGGTCCTGCTAAAAGCCAATCAAACGGGAGGGGAGGCTGGGTGATGCTTGGAGTCCCAGCCTCCTTCCCAGCAGATTGAGAGCAGTCACACTGGTTGCCTGGTGCTCTTTGTTTGACCCTTGATCTGTCTTTGTTCTGAACTAAAACCCATGATTAGGAACCCAGGCCACCCCAATTCTGGTGCTTGGCTCACCTCCCCAACTCCTGGGCCTGACCTCACAGTAATCTCTCAACGCAAAATGCTGCTGCAGCCCACCCAGGCCACCCTGAGCCCAACCTGACCCTTAGCGTCAGTGATCTCACTTCCCACAGGGTGAGGTGCTGAACGTGCAGACTGGAGCTGGAGGAGGGGGTCTGGCTGGTCCTGGATACCGGTTTTGTCAGAGGGGCCACTCACTCGACCACTGAGGCCTGTCCACAAGCCCAGAGCCAAGGTGGGGGTGGCCTGTTGGCTGCGGGGGGCGGTGCCGACTCGCCTCCCCCGACGTAAGGTCTTCTCCTGGGTCTGGGGCTGGTGCCGCACGCTGCATCAGGGCCCTCTGGCGCCGCCGGTAATTGGCAAACCAGTTGTAGACTTGCTCCGTGGTCAGGCGCATCTGAGAGGCCAGGTCCTCCTGCCCCAAAACAACCCGCCACTAGCCCAGCCCACTCCCAAGCCGAGAGGCTGGGACACCAAGGGGGCAAGCCACCACCCAGCCAACGGCCACTCACAGCCAGGGGGGCTCCAAGCAGCTGGCAAACCAGATCCTCCCGAGGTGCCACCCAACCACTCACCCTCCGCCCGCCCGTGCCAGATCATATTGGCCACGACCAACCCTGCAACCAGGCACCTTTCAGATGTGAACTGGCACCACTGGCCACAGTGCCCTGCTCTGGGGGAGCCCAGCTGACTGGACGCGGGGAGGAGGGAGCAAGCCAGCTTTCTGAGCAGCAGGATCTGAGGGGGCAGACTCTTGCCCCCTCCACCCACTCCTGGAGGGCGCCCCCCTCCACCCCTCCTGCTGGAGCCCTGGCCTCAGCGAGTGCTCAGTGAGTGTCTTCTAAAGTCACACCGGCTGACTAGGTATAAGATGCCTGTGATGAAACTCACTCCCCAGCCTGTGCAGGCTAGACATGCAAGGGCTGCCGGCCAAAGGGCACCATCCCCAAGGGAGCTCAGGGTGGTCAGAGCCCACCACCGCCCTGGCAGATAGGCCACTAGGGAGGGTGTAGGTCTACCCCCTAAGGTGGTGATGTGGATCTCCCCACTAAGGGTGGCAGGCCCCCAAGGGTGTTAGTCCCCCACCTAACAGTGGGGGTGAGCCACCCAAGGGTGGGCTTCCCCTTAGAATAGGGAGTGCTGGCGAAGGGGAGGGTGCCTGGCCACGCTCGTATCTGCTCTTACCCGCTCAGCCTTGCTGGGGTTGGTGCTCACGCCCGAGGCAAAGTCCTGCAGCTTCTGGCGAACTTCTCTGGGGAAGTTCCGGCTCTTGAGGCCGTCGGGGCAGAGGGAGGCGGGTGGTGGGTTCCTAGAGGAGGACACTGAGGAGGTGGTAACAGACCCCTGCTCCTCTGGATGCACCTGTTGTGTCCCCCTGGACTCTGCTCCTTTCACTAGCCACCCTCGTCCCCAGCGTGTGCTGCAGGCCCTGGAGCCAAGCCCTGAGCAGGGAGGGGCCTGGTGGTGCCTGGGCCCACACTCCACACTCTCATCAGGGTTCCCAGCACCCCTCACTGACCAGTGGCCCTGACTGCTGAAGCTGGATGATGAAGATATTGAGGTGGGTTATGCTATCCGCTTTACTGACTGTACAATGGAAATTTTTTGCAAAAGAAAAAATGACAGGGGGCTTCTCTGGTGGCTCAGTGGTAAAGAATCTGCCTGCCAATTCAGGAGACTGGTTTGATCCCTGGTCTGGGAAGAACGCACATGTCACGGAGCAACCTAGCTCAGGTACCACAACTACTGAGCCTGTGCTCTAGAGCCTGGGAGCCACAACTACTGAGGCCCAAGTACCCTAAAGTCTGTGCTCTGCAACAAGAAGCTACAATGAGAAGCCTGCAGAACACAACCAGAGAGTAGCCCCCACTCACTGCAATTGAGGCTTCCCTGATAGTTCAGTTGGTAAGGAATCCACCTGCAATGTAGGAGACCCTGGCTCGATTCCTGGGTCGGGAAGTTCCCCTGGAGGAGGGGTAGACTACCCACTCCAGTATTCTTGGGCTTCCCTCATGGTTCAGCCGGTAAAGAATCCACCTGCAATGCGGGAGACCTGGGTTAGATCCCTGGGTTGGGAAGATCCCCCCGGAGAAGGGAACGGCTGGCTACCCACTGCAGTATTCTAGCCTGAAGAACTCCATGGACTGCATGGGGTCACAAAGAGTTGGGCACGACAGAGCGACTTTCACTTTCACTGCAACTAAAGAAAAGTCTGAACAGGAACAAAGACCCAGCAGAGCCAAAAATAATTTTTTTTTAAATGTCATATAAGTAAACAACACCGGTTTTCTACAAGATTTGATATCCAAATACCAACTGAAAAATCCCCATGAATCACCCCATACATCTCAGTGAAGCTCAGCTTCCCACTTCTCACATCTACCCCCAGCCTGTCTTGCTCATCCCAGTGAGAGACCACCATGTCCCTGCCAATCAGGCCAAGAGCCTGGGTTTATTATCTTACCTTCTACAATATGTTCAACCTAGCTGCAAATCCTCCTGAGTCCATCCTGACACAACCCATTCCCCAGCCACGGCCCTCTCAGAACCTCCAAGCACCTCCTGTCTCTGCCCCCGCACTGACCACCAGCTGCAGTGTGTATCACCCCTCCTCATGCCCAGAGAGCACCGTCCCTGTGCTCAGGCCTCACTCGGGTTCTGTGGCCCTGTGCTGCAGCCCCCACAACAAAGGACCACCACCCTCTACTGAGCTTGTCCTGTCTGGCATTCCTTGCTCTGAATTAGGGGATCTGCTTTGTTTCCCAGTCCCCTGTCCGTCATCCACATCCAAGCACAACTCAAAGAGAGCCCAGGGGCCTCTTCACAAACACGGCAAGCTGTTCCCCAAGTCCCTTTGATGAACCACCCTCAGGCAGGCCCTAAAAACCTGAGGAGGGGACGGACGGCAACCCTTGACAACCTCCAGGCTGATTAACTTCTGGGTTTTGAAGACGTTATCTGGTGGGCACTGTGAGACAAATTCTGTCTGATCCAAAAGGAATCCATCCATCTCTTCCTCCATCAACCAGGCTCTTGGCTCAGCAACTCCTGCCACTTGGGCCTTCAGGAGCTCAGAGCGAGACCTGCAGCCTCTTCTGGCCGGTGGAGATCACCCACATAAGGAACAGAGGCTCTGCGGCCTCAACGTCTAAGCTGGAATCCTGCCTTTGCGTCTCTCCAGCGTGTGACCAGGTGAGTCACTAATTTGTCTGTGCCTCGGTGTCCTCACTCGCGAATGGTGATGCTGGTGATGGTTATAACTGGTAGTCATAATGTTTACTTAGTGCTGATTATGGTCATGGTGGTGATTGTTATTAACATCTGTTCAGCAGCTATCATGTGGCAGACTGTCTTCTAACCAGGGGTCCCCATGTCTGATGATCTGGGATCTAATGTCTGATGATCTGAGGTAGAGCTGATGTAATAATAATAGAAGTAAAGTGCACAATAACTGTAACATACTTGAATCATCCAGAAACCATCCCCCTTACCCCCGCACATGCACTGGTCCCCGGAAAAATTGTCTTCCACAAAACCCGCCGCTGGTGCCAAAAAGATTGGGGACCACTGTTCTAAGCACTACATGCATCTCACATGGTGCTTACAGCACTGGCATCTCCATCTGTCTTTAAAAGGTCCTGCGGCTCCAAGGAGCTGCACTGAAATCCCAGCCAGGCCACTGGCAGACCGTGGGGACTAGCTGACATGAGGGGCATCCCTCCCACAGGAGGAAAGTGAGGTCGGGGTGCCCACCTACTGACTCCCTCCCTGCAAGGTCCTCACTGACGGCAGCAGCTCCTGACCTGGGTCCTGGGAACGGCTCTCCATCCTGCCCTATGGGCAGAGGTGGGACAGAGTTCCCACAGCCGAGCAGGCAGAGAGGAGGCTCAGTGTCGGGCACTGACATCACTGTTTCATCTTGCCTCCCTCCCTCTAATTCGCCTCAGCCCTTCTGTGGTTCTGGGAGGCAAATCCCTTGGGAGCCCCCGGGAATAAGCGCCAAGACCAACGCATACCTCTTCCTGCACCGGAACTTCTGCACCGGCGTCAGTGTGGACACGCCAAGCCTCTTCATGGCCAGACGGTAGTGGATGTCATTCCAGAGCTGCACCAGCTTGGGGCTGCCGCCTGGCACCTGGCACCCCTGTGGATAAGAGCCTCCTGAGACCCACACCCTCCCCTGCCCTGGAGCCCCATCATCCAGTTGCCTGAGCCTAAGACAGCCTCCCACTGGCGCCCAATAGTGAGGGCATGAGCTCCATGGCTGGACTCCAGTCCCCACCAGGATTTCGGGGAGCCCCCGGGGGGCACAGTTCTCTTCCACCCCCATAGATGAGGAGCAGGCAAGGGGATGGCCACCTCTGGGCTGTGGCCATAGCATATAGGAGGCAGAGCTGGGCTAAGGACCATATATGAAAGATCAGATTTGAGGGGCCTGAGGCATGACCCCCGTCTTGTATGAGAGGTCTTTCTCATCAGCTGGGTGGGTCCCTGGGTCTCAGAGAGCACATTCTGAGCTGAAGGGGATAAAGGGGTCATGGTCATGCCACTGATGGCTTCCCGACCCAGTGTAACATGGTCATGTGACCAGACTTTTGAGATGGCCAAGGATGCTGAGGACAGGCCTCCCATAGACACAGCCCGTGCTTTAACCCCAGTGTTCTCAGGACCATTTTGGTGAGGGAGGTGCTGAGAATCGTTTGGCTTTCTCTCCACAGCAACAGAAAAAGCCCATTTTGCTGGGTCAAAGCCTGCTGTCTCCTGCCAGGATAAAGCAGCAGACCCAGGGCACAACCTATGGGCAGAGAAACCACGTGGGGCCTCCCCGCCTGCAGGAGTGGCCCTTGGCAGGAAACGCCCTTTTCTGAGGTGGTGGCCCCATGGCTTCTCTCAGGTCTCGGAACACGTTACTTCTAGACAATCCCGAGTGAGATATAGTCCCTCTCCTGGGAGTTTTTCATCACATTTCATCCTTGACTGCCTAACAGCAGCTATGACAACACTGTATGTTCATTCATTTTGTCTGACATCACTGGAAACCTGAGTTATCTTATGTTTCAGGTGTTGGGGATCCTTTAAGGAGCAGAACTGATGCGCCCCCTGCTCCTGGGGCCTGCAGTGCAGGAGGGGAGGCAGACTAAACACAGGTTGAAAAATAAACAGGTTTCTACTTATGAGCTGAGGAAGGAGCCATAGAGGGGGATGAGAACTCCTCTATATCCTTGACAATAAAGGAGGCACTAGCTACACAGGGTGACATTTAAAGCAGAAACCAGACACGTAGGAAAGCTCCAGCCACACAGAATGGGGCTCCAGTTCCTCTGGCAGAGGAAATGACACCTGCAAAATTCAAAAGAAGAGGATCTCAGGAGTTCCAGAAACATCAAGAAAGCCAGCATGATAAAAGGGGGGCAGGAAGGGTCCAAAGACTAGAGAGCAAGCCAGCACTGACGGCAGGCTCTGGGGCCACCGCCTCAGCACACACCATGGTCCCATCTGCAGTTTTAAAACTCCCTCTAGCTGCTAGGTGAGGAACAGATGGTGGGCAGGAGAGAACATGGTTGGGGGCGGGGGGGTGGAGGGGGCAGGCGGGAGAGGGAGCCAGGTGGATGCCACAGGGCTTGGGGGAGAGGGAGCAGAAACAGAAAGAACTGGAAAGAACTGAGTATCTTGAAAGTAAACACAGCATGAATTATGCATAGATGTACATGCATACATGTATATGGAGTGAAAAAGAGAAACACTGGCCCCCAAATCTCTTTTTAAAACCTTTTGAGCCACACATAGTTTGGAATTCAGAACTTCACACATTTTAGGAAGTAACACAGGTATACACTACAGAATTTGCACCACTCCAGTATGATTTGGGACAGGCAGCATCGTGCAACCAAACATACCAACATTTGGATAGTAAAACGTACCGCAGTAACATAATGTGGATAAAGATATCAAGAGCTTCATGTGGACATGGCTCAGGTTTTCATGCCAAATGACTTGAGGTTCAAAGTGCCACCAGAAGACTAACAAACATACTTGTGATTTCAGAGTTCCTCAATGCAGACCCACAGCCAGGGGACTGAGAGACTGGGTCTGTTTTCTTGTCTCACTAATTGGGATGCCATCTTTTCAAGCCAGGACCACGAAGATTCCAAAACTGGACAGTCTCATCTTCAGTTACTAGGCAAGTTAAAACTTAGTAGAGAGAGAGTGGGCCATCCCGGCTTGGTTTATGGCACCTCTCCACAAGCTCCTGCTGACTCTGGGCATTTCTGCGGTGTTTAGGATGGTGGTGGCTGCGTCCCCTCTCTTCAACCCCTACATCCCCCAACCCCCATCTCACAGACCAGTTCTACCTCCAGCAGCCGACAGGCGGCCTGGTGCTGCTCCTGCTGGGCCAGCACGCTGGCGCACACCAGGGCCACATCCGCATTGTCCAAGAGGTACAGGCGGAGCTGGCTGTCCAGCACAGCCGTGACCAAGGGCTGCACCTGGATGGGGTCATCCTGGAGGTCCCGGCACAGCCTGCCTGCGAGGGTCACCAGCTCCGGCAAGGGCAGGCTGGGGCCCCCGTTTCCCCTCAGCAGTTGCAGGAAGCTCTGCATCGCCAGGCGGGTTGGGCCCCTCTGCAAACAAGATGACAAGTCAGGACCACGGCCTGCCCATGCTGATCAGCTGGCCGCACATCTATATTCAGCCAAGTCTGCCAGGCCTCTCCCGCCATAGGTACTTGTGGCGACAGCAAGAGAAGGCAGGGGCAGCAGGGACTGGCAGAGTTTCCCATGAGTCTCCACAACAGTCCAGATCCTGGCTGCGTGCTGTGGCTGCAAGACTCCTCCTCACTCCTCACTCCTGGAACCTCTGTTCCCTTCGTGCCCCTTGCCCACATTACCACCTCTCTGTTTCTCATATTTTAAAACTACAATCTGACTATGTATATATTACACCAAATGGAGAGAGCCTCCTTATGACTTATGGCAATACTTAAGTCTGGCAGCACTGCAGGAAGGACCCCTAGTCTCCACTGGGTTCTGAAAAGGACCGGGTGGAAGGAGGAGCTGTAACCACCTCCCCAGCCCCACACTAGTGAGCACTTTCTCAAACATAACGTTCAGACCTGTGTTCCAATTACCTGAGGGCTATGGAACAGGCTGCTGGCAGCCAAACTAAAGGTGTACTTAGCAGATACTACCAAACCACTTTCCACACACGATGTGAGAATCTGAACAGACTTGCCACGCTCCCTGGCAAAGGGTCTGGCCTGTTTCCACTTCTTGCCGCCCTGTACCACCTAGAGGAACCGCGCGCGCGAAAGGGACGCAGGACGCACCCTCGTCGCCGCTCCCGGACCTCAGCGCCTTGAGACGGGCTCCTGTCTCAGGACCCCACCTTTCTTCCCGGCACGACGGGCAGGGGGTCGGAGACCTCGCATCCTTCAAGAGACCCAGGTTTCCTCTCGGGACGACTGCCCCATCCCACCCCCGACCGGGCTCCAGGAAGGAAAGGGAGGAGGCTAAGGGCCAAACTCACACGAAGAGAATCCTGGAGTTGGGGAAAGAAATGGACTGGGGAGGGGCGCCCGGAACACTGAGGGGACCCGGCTCCGCGGGGATGGACGGCTCTACCGCGCCAGCCTGCCTGAACCCTCTCTGCCTGGCTGTGGCCCTGCGCCGCCCCACCTCTCCGGGTGCCCTGCTCCCCATGGGCGCCAAGAGGCCTCCCTGGCCCCCCACCAGGACTTGAACTCAGTCACAGTACCCCATAAACTCCCTCCCGGACGGCCCCCATTCACCCACCTTCATCCAGACGCCCCCAACTCACCCCTTAGCCAGGCACCGGCTCCCAGCCTTCAGGCTCAGCATGCAAATCCCCGGAGGCGGTTCCGAGGTGCGGTAGCTACAAAGTATCGAGGACTTGGCCAATCCCTGAGTACCTGGCCGGCGACCCTGGCCTCGCCCTCTCCTCCTAAATCCAGGGGGCCTGGGGATCAGCCTTGGTGCGGGGGGTTCTAGTGGTTCTGGCAGTTGTTATTGAGCCGAGAGGCTCCGTGGGATTGGGGGGCGGGGGGGCTGCACGGAAGCCAAGACCTTGGGGGGCTGGCGTCGGAGGCTCCAACTAGCCTGGCCCTTAGGCCCTTAGGCCCTTAGGCTGGGTTGGGTGTCACGACCCCCAACCCCTGCAGCAGGAGGAAGCTGTGACCCTGGGCTGACCCCAAGCAACCCGTGAAGCCCTGCTGAGGTCGCAGCCCGTGGGGCAGACACTCCCCACCTGCCCCTCGTGCTGGAGGGATCCGCACCCCAGCCTGGGCCGCGCGGGAGGGTGTACCTTCAAGGAGCTGGGATCGTAGGGGAGGCCCCTGTAGATCCCACCTCCTGTGATCCTGGGGGTGCATCTCTGCGCCGTGAAGAGGCCTTCACAAGGTGGGGGCCTCAGGACCCGAGTTCTCCACACCCCTGGTCCACACGCAGGGGAAATCACTGAACTGCCGCCGTCCTTGCTGAGACACATCTGGTACAGGTTACAGTCTTGTGAATTTTGCACAGCAAGATTGAAGGCGCCCTAGAGATGAGGCCAGGAAGACTTCAAGTTGATTTTTCTTTCTTCTTCCGGTTTTAAAGTCTTCAGTGCATTTGTTATAATATTGCTTCTGTTTTAAGTTTTGGTTTTTTCGCCTTCCAAAGCAGGTGAGATCTTAGCTGCCCCACCAGGGACTTGACTGCACCCCCTGCTTTAGAAGGCAAAGTCTTAAGCACTGGACTGACAGGGAAGTCCTGCGAGGTTTTTTTTTTTTTTTAATATGAATTTTTATTTACTGGCGCACGAATTCTCTCATTGTGACGCCAGGGCTTCAGAGGGTGTTGCAGGCTCCAGAGCAGGTGGGCTGAGCAGTTGCTGAGGGCAGGCTTAGTTGCTTTGTGACATGTGGGATCTAAGTTCTCCAACCAGGAATAGAACCCGTGTCTCCTGCATTGCAAAGTGGATTCTTAACCACTGGACCAATAGGTAAGTCCTGTAAGTTGGCTTTTAAATGGAGGTGGAGGCAAAAATTCTCTGACGCCAGAGCTTCCGCCTAAACTTATGGGCAAGACTTTGGCAGAAAGAGAAACATTTCAGTGTTTGTTCACAATCTAGAAACAATCCAAGATCTGGTGGAAATTTTTGGTAAATACATCAAACTTCAGAAAGAAGGTGGGCTCAGGAAGGTTAATTAGTAGTTGTGCAGAGAAAGAGTGCCTCCTGACCCCTACTAGTGATACATTGTTTCTCAAAAACTGCCTGTTACAAAACAAGGTGAGTGCTATGAGCCCTGTCTGAAAAGTACAGACATGAAATGATACATGCCACATTGTTAAACACTGTTGCCACTGGGTGACAAATTATTTATCATTTTTATTTGGCTTTAAATTTTCTTCTTTTTGCTTATTCATGTTTTCTACTTTTTATAAAAAGATAATTGGTTTTTCTCCTTTTAAGGTTCTTTTCAAGTGAAAGAAAAAACACAGACAACAGGGTTGGAGGAAGCAATCCCCCCCCACCCCCCCCCACCCCCCAGTATACTAGAGCAGACATGGGTGATCAGAGGCAATGAGAGGTTTGCTGCAGGAAACCCTGCCTCTGTGGGAATGCATTCCCAGGTCCTTTCTCCAGGGCCAGCTGGGAGCTCAGTGACAACATTCCTGGTTGCTGTCCACCCATTAAGCACCAGTGAAGTTAAAATGTCAGTGGAACCCAAAATGTCCACGTACCTACATTATAAAATTAAATTTAAATGTAATTCAACAAATGTTATGATTCTAATTCGTTTCTATTAAGTCAGTTGTTTTTGTTGTTGTTGTTGTTGGCTGTCAGATAAGAAGTTACTATTTATAAACATTGTCTTATTTGAGCCTCCCAACCCCCCTCTGGGTGAGAGTTATGTTCTCTCTTATTATGTTCTCTTAGTATGGGTCCAGTGAATTTTAAAATCGTTTCCACCTATAAGTGACCTCCTTTAAATGTAAGACTCAAAAGCTTACATTCTTAACTTAAGCACATACTCTTTCTTGCTGCTTCTTGACCAGAAGTGAGTTTTACTAATCAAGGGATCAACTTTCAGTACTATTTTTCTCTTCTACATTGGTTTTTTATTGGAATAAAATTGCTTTACAATGTTGTGTTAATGTCTGCCGTACAGTGCAGTGGTCAGCCATATGCATACATCTATCTCCTCTCTCTCTGGACCTCTTTTCCACACCCCACCCATCTGGGTCATCACAGAGCACTGAGCTGAGCTTCCCGTGCTTTGTAGCAGGTTCCCACTAGCTATCTACTTTACACACGCTAGTGTATAATATCATGCTTCCCAGGTAGCTCAGCTGGTAAAGAACCTGCCTTCAATGCAGGAGACGTTGGTTCGGTTCCTGGGTCAGGACGTTCCCCTGGAGAAGGGATAGGTCACCCACTCCAGTGTTCCTGGGCTTCCCTGGTGGCTCAGATGGTAAAGAACCCACCTGCAATGTGGGAGACCTGGGTTCGATCCCTGGGTTGGGAAGATCCACTGGAGAAGGGCATGGCTACCCACTGCAGTACTCTTGCCTGGAGAATCCCCACGGACAGAGGAGCCTGGAGGGCTACAGTCCGTGGGGTCGCAAAGAGTCTGACACGACTGAGCAACTAAGCACTGCATAGCACAGTGTATATATCAACCCTAATCTCCCCATTATTCCCATACTCCCCTTCCTCCCCTGGGTCCACATGTCCATTCTCTACATCTGTCTCTATTCCTGACTTGGAAATAGGTTCATCTGTACCATTTTTCTAGATTTCACATATATGCATTGTTACATGATATCTATTTTTCTCTTTCTGGCTTACTTCACTCTGTACGACAGACTCTAGGTCCATCCACAGCTCTACAAATGACCCTGTTTCATTCCATTTAGTGGCTAAGTAACATTCCACTGTATATATGTACCATATCTTCTTTATCCATTCATCTACCATTGGACATTTAGATTGTTTCTGTGTCCTGGTTACTGTAAATAGTGCTGCAGTGACCATTGGGATACATGTGTCCCTTTGAATTATGGTTTTCTCAGGGTATATGCCCAGTAGTGAGATTACTGGATCATATGGTAGTTCTATTAGCTTCCTCAGGAACCTCCATACTGTTCTCCACAGTAGCTGGATCAATTTGTAATCTCACCAACAATGCAAAAAGTTTCCCTTTTCTCCACACCCTCTCCAGCATTTATTATTTGTAGATTTTTTGATGATGGCCATTCTGACCTGTGTGAGGTGATACCTCATTACAGTTTTGATTTGCATTTCTCTAATAATTATAATTAGTATACTACTAATTACAGTAAAATAATAGAAATATAAGATAGAAATATAATGATCATAATTAGTGATGTTCAGTATCTTTTCATGTCTTTTGGCTATTTGTATGTCTTTTGGGGGGTGATGCCTATTTAGGTCTTCCATCTATTTTTTGATTGGATTGTTTGTTTTTTTGATATTGAGCTCCATGAGCTCTTTGTATATTTTAGAGATTAATCCTTTCTCCATTGCTTCATTTGCAAATATTTTCTCCCAGTCTGAGGGTGGTCTTTTAGTCTTATTT